TTCTTTCATAAGATAAGGATGATTTTGTTGGCTATCTCTGCCTGACCGTTGGTTCTCGGATGATGGACCGAGGCTAATTTGAGGTTTATCCCTTGGTCATCGTAGAAATTCTAGGTCTTTTTATCCGCAAATTGTGTACCCTTAGTTGTGAAGATCACCAACGGTAGACCGTATCTGCATATTAAGTCGGTCCAAATAAAGTTTTGGAGAACATCTGCGATGATTTGGGTGAGAGTTTTGACCTCGATCTATTTGGAAAAGTAGTCTAATGCCACCACTAGGAGGAAGCGCCTCTATCCTTTGGAGGGTGGGAAAGGTTCCAGGATGCCTAGCCCCAAATGACGAAGGACCACGGGATAGTGAGTGGTTATAATTTGTGGGTTGGTTGGTGTTGTAGCGAACTGTATTTCTGGCATTACTTACACCATCAGGATTGTGCTTCATCATCCTTGAATAGTGTCTGTTAGAAGTAACTTTGTCGCTTGATACGATGTGCAAATTTCTTCCCCTCATAATGGCTGTTATATTCCCTAGAGTGAATATCCCGCAAGATGTCCTCAACCTCGTTCTCGTTGACGCACCATAGATAGGTCGATGTTGTTGTTTTTCGGAAGTAAATCTCCTCAGATTCATGATCTCCTCTGTGATGTCTTTCGTTTCTAAGTACTTGACGTATGGGTCTATCTAGCTTTTGGCTTGCTCATTCTCAACCACCATAGCCTCAGATTCTTCCTTGACTAGCCAGTGGAGAACCTACGATTCCCCATTCTTCAAGCGAACACATCAGGATAATAAACCGACTACTTGGTTTTCCTCTTTGTCGATGTGCTCGATCCGGAATTGCTCGAATTTTCGTATTTTCCTTTTTGCCTTGTGGTATTTTGTCATCATCTCATTTCTAGCTTTGAACTCTCTGTTTATCTAGTTCACTACTGGCTGCGAGTCTGATCTTGCAACTAGGGTCTGGGCACCCATGTCGTAGGCGAGCCATAGGCCGACGATTAGGGCTTTGTATTCCGTTTGGTTGTTTGTGACTTTGAATTCTATGGCCACTAAGAGGTACACATGCTCTCCTGCGGGCCTAATCAGGACGAGCCCAAGTTCGACTCCGGTTCTATTTGACTCCTCGTCCACGTGCAGTGTCTACTCCTGTAATACGTCTTAGTTTCCTATTGTTGCATTTCCCTATCTCGAGAAGTCCACCAGGAAATTTGCGATCGCTTGGGTTTTTATTGTCGTGCGAGGGGTGTAAGTGATGTTGAACTCACTTAGTTCAACTCCCCATTTGAGCAGTCGATTCGAATGTTCCGGCTGAGTGAGCACAAATTTCAGCAGTTGTTCTATAATCACACGGATGGGATGCGTTTGCAAATAAGGTCGTAACCTGCGAGCTGACACAATTAAAGAGAATGTTAGTTTCGACATAATCAGATACCCGATCTTCACTCTTCTGAGCATGCAGCTAGTGTAGTAGACTGAGAATTGCTTCTCTGCTTCTTCTCGGACCAATACAGAGCTAATTGACTCGACATCTACTCCCAAGTATGAGAGAGCTCTTTGTTTGACAGGGCCGTGGAGGAATGACGACGAAGCTAAAAAATCCTTAAGGGTTTGGAAAGCATATTGACACTCGTCTATCCATTGAAAACTTCCAGCCTTTTGGAGTGTGACACATTTGTTGTCGGACCTTGAGATGAACGGATTCAGGGCTGCGATCTAATCACGGTTAGTTTTTGGACTTCTCGATTGTTCCTTGGGGGTGGCATGTTGAGTAGTGCCTGGATTTTATCAGGTTTTGCCTTTATGCTCTCAGGGGTTAAGAGTAAACCCAAAAAAATTGCAGTTGAGGCGTTGAACGTGCATTTTAAGGGTTTTAGCCTCATGTCAAATTTTTGTAGTGTTCGGAAAGTTTCTTACAAGTCCTTCACATGTTTCTCGGTCGTTCAACTTTTTACAATGATATCGTCGACGTATCCCTGGATGTTTTTTCCTCTTTGCTCTTTAAAAATTATATTCATCAATCGTTGGTATGTGAGTCCAGCATTTTTGAAGCCAAAAAACATTATATTATAACAAAAATCCCTTCGAGTGTGATGAATGCAGTCTTCTTGGCGTCTTCCGGGTGCATTTTGATATTTTGGTATCCTGAAAAGACGTCCAAAAAGCTCGTGACAGAGTATCTCTTAGCCGCATCGACGAGGGTATCTATTTTCGGTAGCGGGTGGCAATCCTTCGGGCAGGCGACATTTTGGTTAGTGAAGTCGACGCACATTCACCGCTTCCCGTTGGCCTTCTGGACCATGACTATATTCAAAAACAGGTGGGATACAGTACGTCTCGGATGTATCCTGCCTCTTGCAACTTCAACACCTCCTTCTTGATGGGTTCAACTAGTGCACTTAACCGAGTTCCTCGCCTTCTTCCTGATCGGGCTAACCGTTGGGCTCATGTTCAATCTGTGGCAGACGACATATGCTGGTATTCGGGGCATGTCGACAGTGGGCCAGGAGAAGATGTCGCGGTAATCTCGAAGTGTTCGGATCAATAGCTCTCGTGCCCTATATCAAACTCATCACTTATTAGGAAAGACTTATCCGGCTGGGATCTCCTGGGTGATTTCAGTGGTCTCGAGCTCGCCTTTCGTTTGGTTTTGCAGATTGAGCGGCCTCCTGCCAATGCTCCCAACTGCCCGGAGATAGCAAACCTTAAACTGATCTAGATCCCCTTTGGTCGTGATCACCTCTTCTTCCCCTGGGAATTTCACGACAACATGATAGGTGGATACTACAGCCCCTGAAGTGGTTTAGTTGTGGTTGAACGAAAATGACATTGTAGGTTGAGGACGAATCCACTATCCAGGAAGTCTTTTGTTTCTGTGAACTGCTTGTCTTTCTCACCCCACGTGATTGCTAGTGGCATTACGCCTGGTGCCTCCTTTGTCAGAAAAACCAAAGAGTGGGTCGGTCGCCATCAACAGCCGATCGGCCCTAAGGTTAATTTTGTCGAACACTAACTTGAACTGGATGTTCACGGAGCTACCAGTGTCGAAGAGGATACTTCAAACTTGGAAGTTATCAATGATCCGAGTGATGACTATAGGCTTGTTGTACAGGTCTCTTAGTTGGGGTAGGTCATCGTCTGTGAATGTAATGGGAAGTTAGGCTTCTCTTTTTCGTAGCAACGTGTGGCTGCATAGTTCGCCATACCTGTCCCTCTTTTGGGAGTTTTGCCGCGTGGTCTAGGTTCCTCTGAGGATGGTCGGGACTAGCCCAGTGGCATGGACCACGCTCTTCTGGACTTGCTTGGGTGGGGATTCTGGCGCGGTCTCTCATGCCTCTGTCCCGAGTGACTGGAGTTACATGCTTTTTTGACTTCTCCACCAATGCTACCTCTTCGATTGCATCTTGCCAGGTATTCATGTGGGCTCTAACCCTCAGGCCACTTCCTTCTCTTGGGATATTCTGCGCTCATCTTCTTGTTGTTAGCATGACTCTACACTCACCTTATTTTTTATAATGTTGGATACCAATTTATCCGGGAGACATATCCATGGAATAGAGCATTAGAGAAATTGAAGAGAGAGAGAGAGAGAGAGAGAGAGAGAGAGAGCAATATCATACTATTGTATCGTAAATTTGACTGTTCTTTATTCATGGGAGAGACCCTCGATTTATAGGATGAGTTTATTTACAATTACATACTATATCCCTACGACGTATAAACACGGCAGGGGTACCTTTGTCCTCTTAAGTGGTCTATTTGGTAGTCAGATGGTGCTGTTTCTAGCCGACCTATCTTCAATATGGGCGTCTGCAAGCAGAAAATCTACTAAGTTGGACGACCATTTGGCCGGGCGGCACCGGACTGGGCGGCCATTCAGTTAAACGGGACGCGGCTGCTGGTTCAGTTGTAGCAAAGGCTTCTGATTAGTAGGGAAGGCACCATTAGAGTCGGGAATAATACAAAAACTCTGAATCGAGGTGTCCAGGAAAAGTTCAATTAAGATCTAAACTTCTAATCCATAAGGGAAATTATTAGATTTTGTTGCTAGAAAGAGTAGAAGGGGATAGAAAGCTAAATAGAGCTTTTATCTTGGTCATAAACTGTAAATTAAATGTTTGATTAGGAAGATCGGTATATATGCTTTATTGCAAGGATGTAACCGGCAACAAGCGTGGATTGGAGAGAGAAAAAAAAACGTGGACAGTTATCCACAGCTCAATGAAGAATTGTTCTTATCCGCCATGCTCAAGTTTCTGGTACAGATCGAAACATGGTTCTCTCTCTTAATCAGTAGATAGTGAAAGCCCTGATATTTTAGTGCATTTTAAAATAAGCAGCAAATTCTTCAGTTTTTAATCTTGTGCCACCTGTCCAACCATCATTGCACACTCCCCCAAATCTAGGGTTTGCATGGCATGCCTAGTTTTAGGCAATTATTTTGCATGAAAAACAAAAGCTCCTACGACAAACATGAAGAGTTTCTATGTTTATCGTATAGCATCTGTCATCCCAGATCATAAACATGAAGTCTTAAATTTTCTTTCTATGATCTTTACATAGCTGAAACCCATAATTCAGTTCTGCTCATGGAGAGTTACTAATTATTTTTCTCATTTTTTTTTCTTTTTCATGTTATGTTTTCTCATGCATGCATGCAAGCTTCAACGCTCTAGGATGATCATTTCATAGCAGAACTTGTGTTTTTCAGGTTAGTAACAGAACAGATCTTGTTTCATCTCCACAACTATACAAGCTTGTATTTGTGCATTTAAGATTATTTGTACTAAGCGTGTTGATATAAATTTGGAGTTCAGTGGCCAATCTCTTCTTTTTTCAATTGAAGAATCATGTATGATCTTTTTTCTTTCTAATGAATTCACAGCATAGTTGTGATCAAGTTCTACAATATAGAAGGCATTTTATCTCTGAAAAGAGAACACATAATGAAAGCAAAAGTTGTTTGGAATCGATTAGATAATGAAATTCTACTACCAGAATAAACTATCAATACATATTCACCAGATTTATTCATTGTTCATGAAATGATACCTAATACATCTATGCTTTATGCAGAATGTGTGGCGTACACAGCAGTAACAAACAAAAGAATTGAAGCATAAACTATCTAGAATTTCCTTCTTTAGCTATCATTCTTGCTCCTCTCACGTTCTAATTGCTCCAAAACTATATACAGCTGCAGCCCAAGTTTCAGAATGGCGCCAAGTTGGTTAAACTCGGTTTCAGCTGCGGAGAACAGAGCGCCTGATAGAAGTAATCCTGGTTTAAAGATAAATCAAAGGTCCCCATCGTCATGGTTGCCGATCCTGTACCTACAGCATCCAGTTCATCCAGATTCAAGTCAAGGAACCAGTCATGATTATCCTCCTCCTTAGGCCTTTGTTCCGTCCCTTTAAAGCTAAACGCACTCCCACTTGCCGTCCGCAAACCAGGCAAGCCTAGATCATCAAACTCCGGCAAAGAGTCGTCCACATCCGACTCCGGCGTTCTAAAGCTTTCCGAACCAGTATCCTCCACGGCCCCCATGGAATCCATCGTCTCTTCAAACGATGGAGATTCCATGACGTTCTGCTGCATTTTCTCCCACGCATTCTTCTTATTATAAAGCCTGCAGAGCACCCACTCGTCCAACTGCAAGATGAAGGAGCAAAGCATTAGGTACCATAATGAGACACTTTATATGAATATATTATGTTATAGGAAGATCTACAAACATACCCTGAGGCTGCCTTTCTTGTTGGCTGATCGGTTTGTTTCAGCAAGGCGGTATTCATGCATGATCCAATCCGTCTTGGCACCTCTTGGAGCCTTGCCTGAGTAAAACACTAAAGCCTTCTTGATGCCGAGAGGCCGGTTAATTCCCTTCGGCAACACCGGCTTGTCTGCTCCGGTGGCCTTCCAGTATCCCTGGCCGGCTGCTCTATTTGGCCTGGAGCCGTTGGGGTACTTTCGGTCCCTAGGAGTGAAGAAGTACCATTCTTTCTGCCCAAACAGCGCTTTTTCTGCAACACAAAACCCCAAAAAGCCAATTTTGTTATAGCCGGTATAAAACCAGAGAAAGAAGAGAGAGATTGATCCGTGAAATTCACGGGGGTACCTGGAAGTTCCCAGGGGTCGAACTTGTACAGATCGACCTCGGCTATGATGGGAACTGGGAGGCGTTGGTGGGCGGCCTTGCGGCAGAGGTAGTGGACGACGAGCTCCTCGTCGGTGGGGTGGAAGCGGAAGCCAGGCGGCAGGTTGAGCTCAGCCTCGGCATCGCGTCTGCGGCCCATAGCGGAAAAGAATGGCCGGCTCTTTCTGTTCTCTTCTCGTATAGATTGTTGTCGTCTAGGATTTAGGTTTCTTGGGAGGGGAAGAGGAGAGGTTGGGTGAATAAATAAACATGGGGGATTTGGACGCACGTGGGTGGTGGCGGTGGGCTGGTGGCTCCGGGAACCTTCGTGGATAATGGCTTATTAGGGGGGCGAAAGGGTGGGGAGTGGGGCCGGTCAAAACTGGGGACGGCTGGCGAGCTGTAGAGGCAATTGGTCAAAGTGGATTGAAGAGATAAAGGTGTGCAGACGAAGTTGAGATGGAATGAGGTGTGCACGAGCACTGCTAGTTATATGCGGTTGGTAGTAATTGAGTCTCGGATTTTGGTGCAGGTGTCTGCTTAGTGTGTGTGGTGTTACTTGTTAGGCAAGAAAAATCTGCCACCTAAGCGAGGAACAAATATTAGATCATGAGTTTTAATATATTAAGCATCTTAATGGTCAGGTGCCACTTGTAAAGTATCCTCACCGTAATATTATTATTATTACAATGTGTTTGCATACTGGCATTGTGTTTATTCTAAGCTTTAGGGTGACTATAAAAAATGGACCGGTCATAAGGAAATTGTTAGAAGTTACATTGAATTAGAAAAAAATTAATTAGGTTTCTTAATTATTAATATAAATTAAGGACAAAATTATTCTAGATTTGCAGCTCAAATGTTTCAATATTTAAAGAATTGCAAGAAATTGGTATGGAGGTGTCATAAATCCAAGTGTTTCTCTCCATTTGAAATCTCAAATCAAGATTTCCGGTTAAGTTTGTTTAGTCAAATCTTTATTAGTAATTAAAAATTTTATAAAAGTAGTTGAATAAAAACTGGGTTAATGTAGAATTGAGATCAACATTTTCAATTATGATTCTCATGAGAAGGCTACTTGTACTACTCGTGTAGCACAAACAATTGTGCCACCGTTTTGAATGTTAGCATCAATCATTTTCTAAGTTTTGTTAGATGTTTGAGAGGGAATTTATGATGTTGGGTGACAAGGGGTTGTCATTTTGATTTTTTTGAGATGAGAGATTAGGTTGATGATTTTTATATATTGATGATTAGATGTTAAACAACGGTCAATGGAGATATTAGCTTTATTATTCTATTGCTTGGGTGGGTTATCAACCACTTTGGAAGGCAAGCTTCGAATGTTGAGGCCAAAAGGACATGAGAATTTGGTCATTCATAAATGTTGGTTAGTGTTTAAAGTGAAACCTATGAAACCACACAATGGTGGGTGGGGGTGTACGAAATTGACCCGATAAGCAACTTGACTTGAACCCTAATAAGAAATAATTGAGTTTGGATTGACCCAATTATATTTTTGATAGGATTCAGGTCGATTTGTTAATTTGAAAGTTAAAATTGAATCAAATTTGATATGCTAAGCTAAAATTGACAAATTTGACTCATACTTCACTCAAAATTGAACCTAATTTGACTCGAATAGTTGTTATGCATATATGAAATATATTACATGGGTTGGGTTCGAGCTGGTATAGTTGTAGGAAGGTTAGGTTCGGGTTAAATTTTTTGACCCGTTTAATATTGTGCCGGGTTTAGGTCAATTTGTTTTGGGTTCGGTCAATTTAGGGTCAGACTTAAACTTAACCCACAAACCCTATTAGACACCCGTAATGTTAGGTGGTAAATTGATTCTTCTTCTAACATAGAGGAGATTAACTGACTATGAAAACTAGGGTTAGTGTTAGTAACTGCTATGCATTTTGCATTGATCATTAGCAAACCTCAGACAATAAATAATCAACAAAAAAATTTTGGAAGTATGAGGTAGCGGACAAGCAATGACAATCATTGGACTTGAACATTAGAAGCAATGATCGCTAGCTTATAATATTAGACATTTGAAGCTCGTTGGCATGGCTATCCTCCTAGTTACAAAGATGGTTGGACTATTAAGAAGGGTAGAGTGGAATTGTTGACATGATAATTTCCAAACACTATCAATTGGGTTTTCTAATTGACAACCAAATTTATAAAATTCTCTTAGTTTAAAAATTCTTCAAATTAAAAGCTTTCAAATGAATGGTTGCATAAAGTGATGTCATATTTATGTATATTTTTGTTGATAACTTTTACAAAAAATATTGACCTTTTATTGAACAATCTAAGAAGTTTTCCATTAATCATTTTAGAAATTGTTTAACATATCGTTAGCTTAGTTAAGCCAGGATTGTGTGATTTTAGAATTATCATATTTGCCTCGTTGAGTTGATGGTTTCAACTCTAATGACATAAAATATAGAATATGTTCCCTTCTCCAACCCTCAAAATGGCTCAAAAGAGTTTTAAATTTTGCTTTTGAGTGTTCAATTTTGACCCATTCAGGTTGAATATATGCATTTTTAGCATCGTTATATTCTCAAAATGTAATGTCCCAAAATTTTTTTTTATTACTTTATTAAAAATAGAGTTTTGATGGTTTTAGTGTAAATTTTTGAAAATTTTTACCTAAATATTTGGCTATATTAAGGTCTAAAAATCTATCAATGTTTATAATTGATGAGATTTTTTTTTTTCATATGAATGTGTATTTAGGTTACTATTGTTGAATACAGGCTTTATTTGTATAAGGGATTAGTTGTTTATTTTTCATTTTTATTAGTGTACCATAATCCTATTTAATTATAGGAGGGATTAGAGATGGTTTTAGGGTGTGGAGTTGTAACCCTATTTCAACCATCCCCCTGTAGATGAAGGAGGATTTGTTTCAAACCATATAATTCACTTCGTATTTGACTCTTTGTTTGTTGCATGAATTTCTTTTCTGCATTATTTTGCACAATAATTGATATCAGAGCCAGATCAGTGTGATTCTGACAACATGCAACTGTGATTCTGATAAGTTCGCAGACGTAAAACAAAGAGATCAGTGCAAGTTGGGGTACTAGATCTGGTGGAGTCATGGATAATATTATATCATCAAGTACTTCAATATCCACCATGACAGTGAAAAAGACATTACTTTATCTGTTGGTTATGAATCCCATTAAGATTAATATGATGAAATTGATGACAAAGAAAATATTGGTATGTTCCAATCCAAGGTGATGGATGTATTATGCTCTTTGAATATGAAGGAAGTATTTGATAGCGATGAATATTGATGAAGAACTTGGAAAATCATCTGCATATGAAGTGTTGACTCTATAAGTATTACATAAGATGTGGGGTTACTATTGATGAGCAATTAAATAATTTTATAAAGTTTTTGATAGATGTGTTAAATATGGATTAGGACATTGGAGATGAAGACAAGACACTTATTTTGTTGAATTCGCTCTCAAACGAACACAAAAACTTCACGATGACTTTGCTTCATAGGAAGGAGGTCTTGAATTATGACGAGGTGGTTATGACGTTGTTGAACCATGATATCTGTCAAAGGAATAAGAAGTCTGCAAAAATGTAGTTGGTCGAGACACTTACACTCTAATGTGGAAGATATGAGAAGAAGAAGAAACAGACGAAGAAGGGTGGCAATGGTGATACTTCTCAAAAGCTGGACAAGTCCTGTGGACAGTCATGGAAAAATCAACGTGTTTTCTAATTAGAGACTAGTCATTGGAAGAATGATTGTTCGAAGATGAAAGAGAAGACAAGTAAGTTTTTCTTAGAAGAAATTCAATCTTATTATGGTGAGGTGTGACGAGGCAGATTCAGATATATCATTATCTGCAGTTTCTTACACTTTGTATGTTGATGATTCATGCTGGATTCTAGACATAAGTGCTACCTATATGATGCGTATAAAATATGTGTAATATTAACAAGTTATTTTTACTATTTATTTTATCATTTTTATATGTTTATGAGATTTCTATAGTGTTATATGCAACATACCTGAAAAATTGGAAAACTCGTGCCCAAGTGTCCACGTAACCATGTCTGAAAAGAAGGAACTTAAAGAGGAAGGTCACTCCATAACGTAAAAGAGAAAGCACTTGGAAACCCATCGCCAACCTCAGGAGCCTAGATGCCCCGTCCAAGAAAGTAGGCAACACTCCTTATTGCATAAGCATGCAACCCTGGTTTTAATTAGTTTTGCACGGTTCAAAGACATTTGATGCTGGAGAAGGACTTAAAGCGGTGAATTATATTCAAGAAAATTATCAACCATCGTCTTGCATATTTGCTACAGTCGGAGATCGATGTAGATTCATTTAGGAGGATTCTGAGAGGACAATTAGAGAAGAGCAAGTGTTATTTTCTTGCTGAAGAGTGGTTGTAGTGAGTGTGTTCTATATTTTGAGTGCGGAGAGAGTAAATTCTAGTGAAAATCATTATACAAGAAAGGATTAAAGTGGATCAAATCAAGGTTTCTCTCACATTATAATTTTTCAATCAAATTTGTCTTGCTTCCTTTCAACATGTTTAGGAACTAATTATTTTGCGCTTCTTTGATTTGGAAGTGTGATGAATTGTATTCTATCCATGAGATTGCTTTAACATTTTTTAGGATTTCATTGCATGTTGGTGTGTTATCTTCTTAATCTTAATTTACTTTCAATTTGACCAATTGAAATGTTAAAATTCCTTATGATTATGGCTGATGATCATAGGTTAGAAGAATATCTAAGACAACATTTGATCGCTTAGTGAAATATAAATATTACCAATAGGAGACTGTAATCATATAGAGGAATAGAGGATTCCTTTAAGACTTTGCAGAATTAAGCAAAACCTAATTATAATATGAGTCTTCAATGCTTTTTATGTCTAAGAATAGAGAAATGAGTGTTTTTCTCTAGTAGTAAACATTTAGTTTGGAAATATATTGGAAGAATATTGAGGATTCATACGATCCAATTCAAAACACAACAGAGTGAATGACCTTTCAAAAGCTCAGTGGTATGATTTTCACATAATAACACAACCATATAAATTTAACTTTTTACAAAAACTAAAATTTTAAAACGTTTAAAATTTCACTAACTTTTGATAGTTAAAACTAAGCCTCAGATACATAGACTCTTCAATCTGTATACTACTTGATTGAACGTGTACTTGCATCCAATTCATATCGAACGACAACCTCAGATTCCTAAAAGAGTTAGGACTTATATTACACAACATGGTTGTGCAATATCCTAAAGAAAATGCGAGAATTTATGCCGCACTAGGCAGGCAAGCTTGAAATCCTATGGATTGTTGTTATTTAAACTAAGGAAAATACAGCTGTTGAAGATCTCTTTTGCTCTCTCGAAGACATTCTTCTCTTGCATCCAAGTCATGCTTCCCACGAAGTTTGCTCCAAGCGTTCAATTGCGATGATTGCAAATTCAGGGTTTAAATTTGAAGTATGCATACATCTGGGTTTGGTCGGTGTCTTGTCGCCGTGTACCTCCTATACAACCAGACTATTGTTCTTCTATTCTAAGAGGTATTGCAAGTAATATGCATATACGAAAGA